GCCCTGAAGCATCAACCCCAAGCCTGAAGCCCAAATTTTGCAACCCAAGCCCCCCCCCCCCCGTCCCCGTCCCCTCAAATGACAGTTCAGTTCAACCCATATGTTAAACACCTCCAAAGCCCGGTCCCAGATGTAACTGTGCAGGTGACGCCGGTGCTTGGAATCCCTCGTGGCCACATCTGGCGGGTGGAGCTTATCGGCTATGGCATCATGTGGCTCGGAAGCTGTTTACTGTAGAGGTTTGAAATATTACGAGACCAAGATCAGACCCATGGTAATCCCCATACGTGTATATTATTGCAATAACCACCCATAGCCCCTAACTATCCTGTCTACCGTTTTGGGCCGAGTGCTTTGCAGCCCTATAACTCCTTATCGCGGGTTTCCGAAAACAGGGGACCCCGATATAGCCCCTTCAAGAGGGGCCGATGTTTTGTGAACAACCTCAAATCAGTGCATGTTAGTTTAATTACTGAGCTCCCCATACGTCAAGCTCCAACTCCAGGATCGTCATGGGCCTTGTCTACATCTCCTTCCCGCTCTATGTCATGGCCACCAAGCCCTTTGGGGGCCTCCCGGCAACAAGTCGACACCATGCCCCACAGCTTCCAGAAGCAAAGCCCCAACACGCAAGCCTCATTCTTCAGTGCAACCCTACATCATCACATGCTAAAGCCCCAACCGGAAAACCACAAACCTGAGAATGACAACCCCAACCCTGAGATTCCTGTATCTGCGCCCCAACTATTCCTGGCTCAATGTTGTCAGTTTTCAACCACCCTCAAACCGCCCAAATCGTTGATCAACCCTCAAAGGCCCATCCTCATCCTCATCCTGACCCTTACCATCACCATCGCACGTCATCATCATCATCATCATCATCATCATCATCATCATCATCATCTTCCTCGCATCCTCATCATCCTCATCATCATCATCGCCGTCATCGTCGTCAGCGTCAGCATCATCACCATCGCCGTCATCATCAGACATAGGCATCATCATCGCCATCATCACCATCACCATCACCATGACCATCATCATCGTCGTCATCGTGGTCAGCATCATCGCCATCGCCGTCGTCATCAGACATAGGCATCATCACCATCATCACCATCATCATCATCATCACCATCATCATCACCACCATCAACATCATCATCATCATCATCATCACCATCATCATCCTCAACAGCATGTCTATTTGCGTCCATCTCCATTGTCATGGGTTCGTGCGACACAGAACGCACAGCGGCCTCTAGGTGACCTACAAGCCCTATGAAGCCCGCAACGCCGTAGAAAAGACTCCAATCCTAAACAGTCCACCCGAACCCTAAGCCATGGACCACTAGCAAGGATACGAGTCGAGTATCCAGATCCCGGGCAGAGTGGAGTGAGTGCGCAAAAAGAGGCCTCCTGGCCTTACAAGCAAGCGGTAGGGCCGGTTGCGTGGAAAGATTGCGATTTCTCATGAAATCTGGGGTTCTGGCTTCGCCCCCGAAATTAGGAGGGGTAGTTGCACCCTTCTGAAGACATTATATACACGAACATTTCCGCTCAGCCTCCATTTTCTTGGAGAGTTTTCTTTGGGGGGGGTCTTCGTCGCCGTTCTGAATGTACACTGACATAGGTATGTAGGATCACCCCCAAAACCTGGAGCGCGTGATATACGTTCTTGCGACGGCGTGGCGAGGGAATTCTGGAGTGCCGGCTTGTTCAAGCTAAAGGTTTCGGTTTGCATCGAGATTCAGGGACTATGTAACCCACTGTATCAGTATCCAAAGTAAGTCCATTCACCGATATCAAAACTAGGCAAAAAGCTTAAACCCAGTCGATAAGTACACTGAGCCTTCACAGTTTAATTTGGTCAGGGATTACGACTCCTGTTTAGGGAATGCTGTTTTCGGGGTTGGGACTGGGGGCATGGGATCTAGCTACCGAGTACTTGTGTCAACACCCTCCTATATCTGCTTCATACATATTTCCCACATAGGTCAATGGCGCCAGCCTGGACGCACTACGCGACTTCAGAATGCTGGAACCATGAGCGCTCAGCCAAGCTTTGGCTCCCAAGTTAATGACTTTCCTGCAGATTCCAGGGGCAAGTGGTTACTGGAGATGGGTGTGCATCTGCGTGCCTTCGACTCCATGTCCGCAAACACTAAATCACTAAATCCTGGAACAAACAACCCGAAACCTTAAGCTCTTAAGCCCCAATCCCCAAGCCTGCATGTCTACAGCCTAAACCTTGTATCCTGTGGGTGCGACATCCCGAACCCTGTTTCCTAAACCCGAAACCCGCAAGCCCTGAACCGTTAGCCCCTCAGCTCTCGACCAGAGCCTCCTTCCACGACTGTGGATTCTGCCGACCTTAACTGCTAGGCGGAAAAAGGTGCTTTAAACAAAACACCCTAGGCCCTAAACCTTAAAGAGTCTCAAGCATTAAATCCAAAGCCGGGATGGCTTTCGATCTCGACCCCTTGGACTCGTTCAAGGGGGCTTGGGGCCTGCGGCGTTCAGAGTTTGAGAGTTATGTTGAGGGTTTAGGATTCCAAGCCTCTGGTCTTTGGGAAGTTGCATTCCGTGCCCATGGCACACTCTTTTTTAAGAAGGACAGTTTGGACTCAAATATTTGTTTGCCGGTACCGCAGAACCCCGCGATGACATCACAATGAGGGCTGGCGACGAGCACCGTTGTTGAGTTCTGCATCTGGGGTGTGTTCAGGAAAAGCATGTTGTCTGCTTCCAGGACCTGTAGCTTTGAGTTCGTGGTTTAAGGTCTAAGGTTTGGCCAGGCCAAGTTTCAGGTTCTTCGTGCACCGGCTTAGCAGTCTGAGTTTGGATGGTCCCTCCGTACAGGGACTGTTTCAGACATTGCGCACAGCTGTGCACGAATCGTGCGGCGATAAGTGCCTCGATTGATTGCGAGCGCGAAGTGCAAAAGCAAGTGTTCGCGCGCGGTGGTGCCGATGCCCCCAATGTCGGAGCCACGAATGCCCAAAATCATGCCTTTAGACCACAGCTTCGAAACCCTAAGTTCCCCAAGCCCGAAGTTCTACTTAAGCGCTAAACCGTGCTCTGCAGCTGTACTTCTCCGAAGGACCTGGTGGGTGGGTCGACGTGGGCCATGACACGAAGAAAACACTCGATTAGACATGAGATGTCGCCTGTTCTGAAAGGGGAGAAAACAACTCATCCTCAAGAACTATTGGTGCAATCTACCGTAATTACCTGAGTAGGTTTGCAAGAGTTCCAAGGCCCGAGATGATTTGAAATCTAAAGAGCTCTCCAAGCTTCAGACCCGCAGCTTTCCATCCTAGACAGTGTGGAGAGCGGGGTTTCACTTCTCAGGGGTTTTCTGTCCGCAGTATTTTTTTTGAAGAGTAGCCGGGTGTGAGCGCTCAGGGCACAAAGTGCAACTTGCCAGCAAGAAAGTCTGGGAACAGGATTCCGCAGCTCGGGGTTCTTGTTCATGGTTTCGAGGCCACAACCCCAAACCAATCCGTAAATTTCATCATGATCGTCCAAACCCAATACAACTAACCAAGTGTGTGCGCTCTCCATGATGCAAATCCCTTCGCTGTCCCCATCAAAGCAACAGCCTGAATTCCTGCAGACCTTAGCCACCTTGCCCAAGACCCTCAAGCCCAAAACCTTAAGTTGAAGGAAGACTCTCACGAAACAGGAGGCCGCAAACCTAAAGACTGCCGCTCAGATAGGGTCCCAGTGTCAGTGCTGTCTGTAATCGACATGATAACCGTAGCAGCAGTGGCAACCGTCATATATTTTCATGTGGGAGCCTCAACTATCCCGAACCCTCAAGATTCGATACATGTCTCGTACAAGATTAGCCTGCCCCCAACTCAAGCCTCAACGCCTAAAAGTCTCATGTCTGCTAAAGAACCGGAAGGCCTTGTAAGGCCTGTTTTTGTTCTGCGTGTAGCCAGGTCCTCAGCCCTCAACGCTTGCTGTAGGTTTGTTTTTGAGGGGTTTAGGGGGGGCTTCAGGAGGGTTTGTGTGACGTCTGGGGGGGTTAGCTTTGGCTGGTCTCGGATTTGGGTGTGTGTTGGTGTTGGTTTCGGGTTATTGGTTGAAGGCCCCGGAAGTAACCATGAAGCGTTCCGTCTGCGGCTAGAGTCAGGGAACGTGGGAGCTATGCTGAACCTAAGGCGAGCAACGTTTCCAACACCCCGCTACGTCCGGCAGTGCCTCGCCGCCCTTAAAGTCTTTAAGATTCCAGAGCCTTAGGGGGTTGGGGTGAAGATGATTGGGGTCTTTTCATTTGGCGGATTCGTCAGCAAATAGCTGGCCGGGCTCCATGCAGGGTCTCAAGCACAAACCGAGCTCAAGTATCTACTTTTTTCTTTATCTATGTAACTATCTAGCTAGCTATCTATCTGTTTATCTATCTATCTACCTATCTACCTCTTACTTGTCTCTCTCTCCCTCTCTCTCTCGCTCCCCCTACCTCTCTAGATGTCTACATCTCCGCATTTCCCTCTCAACCTGCCTACCTCACCTGCATGTCTATCTCTATCTCCACCTCCATCACCATATCCATCTCTATCTCCATCTGTGTGTCTCCAACTCTATGTATGTGTATGTATATACTTATATATATACACACACACACATATATATATATATGTATGTACCTA